TAACAAAATATCCTTAAGTCCTATTGATGGGTAAATTGAACAGTGGATGATTGGAACATCACTGCAAGCCATTCAAATACCATTCATCCTTAAGCTTTTTAGAGGCTAGTATAACTATGTGTGACTATGAAAGGATAGAATGCAATTTCTTGTTTAGATCAGCATTACATATAGTATATTTTGAACCAATTTCTGCTGTATTGTAAAGCTTTTTTGATGTTGCTACATTGAGATTTTATTTTCTATCTTTACTGTTTCAGTTTCTTTTGAATTGCATATGAAATGCTTATTCTTTCGATGATAGTCAATAAAGACTTTGTTCTTTTTTTTTAACTATCTTGACATTTGGAAAGAGTACATTTAGGATTATTCCTACTTCTTTTAGTTATTAAACGATGACTATAAAACTATTAAGTGTAGTTGTTTACTATGAAGAAATGCCCAGAAGGAAAAATGAACATATATCTTGCATTTGGTTTCACACATATATCCTTTATTAAAGGAATAGGGTGCAGCATAAGTGTCCACTAGAAAGAGTTGGCTGGGGAGATGGCTCTGTTGGCAAAGTGCCTGTCATACAAGTAAGTGTAAGAACCTGAGTTTGATCCCCAGAACCCACTTTAAAAAGTGGACGTTTTGGTATGTGCCTGTAATCACAGTGCATGGGAAGTGGAGAGAGCAGGACCCTGGGGCTTGCCAGCTAGCCAGTTTAGCTGAATTGTATTGGTGAGCTCCAGGTTCAGTGAGACACCCTGTCTCAATAAACAAGGTGGAGAATGATTGAAGAAGACACCCAGTGTTAACATCTCCATATGCACACATACACGTATACATACATACATATATTCACACACAGGAGTTGGTGCTGACAGGAAGAGGTGTGTGATCTCTGAATGAGGCCAAGTGTTGTTGCCTTTTAAAAAAGGCTGTGTACTTGTAGTGCAAAGTCATCATTGTGGGGTTTTCTTTTTGAAAACTATATATCCATCTTGACTGTGCTGTACAAAGACAATTCCAAAATTATCCTATTTGTAAAACTTTTAAGATTTGTGAAATATGGAGATTATTATTATATTTATGCTGATATTTTGGTTTTTCTCTCAGAAAATACTGTACAGTTGCAATAAAGTCACAGTTACCCAAGGCAGAATAATTATTATTTCAACCTTTTAAGTTTCTAATTCATCTGTTAGATGTGATAACAGAATCAATATGTCTAATTGATTGGTTTAACTGAATCAAGTAAACTGTTCATGATCATCTATTGAGATACCAATGATCCATTTCATGCTTATTTTCCCAACCCAGCCGATGTGTACTTTCCCATCTGCCATGATGTTTATGAATTTGCCTTGGTCCATTCCTGAGTTCTACTGTACATACACTCCATTGTGACCAAGCAGCAATGCAAGACAGGTTATTCACCTTATCATAAAAAGTTAAAATAGTTTTAATAGTATGCATGGTGTATGCTTCCTCCCAAATAGTGTTCTCTCTGCTTGATCTGTCAAGCCCAGAATAAATTAAAACATGGTGTCCATCAGCATTATTTTCACTAAAAAGTATATGATACTTATTCATAAGAATAACTATTAATACTACCCATTTGAGCGAGTGACTGTCAGGGACTCCTTTTGCAGTTGTGCAAATATTAAAATCATTATTTATTGCACTGTAGATGCTTGTTAAACTTCCCCTTAGAATTGAATAGTAAAAGAGGAATTGTCTAATCATTAAAAAAACAAATTATGGTAATGTAAGTTTTATCCTACTCAAACTGTTTTTTCATAAATATTTGAAGGAAATGTCTCTTTTGATTTTGTTTTGTTTGTTTTGCTGATGCTGCTTAGCCTTGTTTTATTCCCCTTTGAGCTTTGTATCTTCACCTCTGCCTTAGGCTGTGAGTCTTGTTTCTTCTCATTCCTCAAGTGAGTTATCTAGAAACATTTCATGAAGGAGGAATAGATTTATTTACTGCAATAATTTATTTTGATATTATTCATTCATCTTACTTTAGATGATTTTGTTTGGGTCACCGAACTTGGAGGTCTGTAGAGAGCTTCAGAGTCCATATTTCCCTTAAAGGCTAGAATTATGCATGTATGTGTTGTATACAGTGTGCATTTTCCTGAGAAGTGAGAGATATCGGTTCATCAGGCCCTCACAATTCCTGACTATAAAAGCTTCTGATTTCTCTCCTGAAATGGCTTGATTGCCAAAAGAATGTCATCAGTTCTTGAGATTCTCTTCCCTCTCCAGCCTTTAACTACTCTTTAATATCCAAACAATACTTTTCAGGGTTCAGACTTGGAAATAAGAGACAAAGGGTGTTGAACCTACAGGTGGAGCTTGAAGATAAAATCTTCAGAAACAAAATTTAGCAACTGAAAGAAGAAAAAGGAAGAGCACATCCCCACCACTGTAGCTCTAAGTAGAGTGATAGATCCATCCAAGGACACAGACTGGCACCCTGACCCCCAGGTCCTGGATCACAGCCACAGTATTGACTTATGTTAGCCTTCTTTAAATGACAGTAATGTAGGAGAAAGTATGCACAATTTTATTAGAGATTAATGATGTGCAGAATCTTAATTCTTTTATGTGCAAGGAGCTAATGACCAGTCTTAGCTGCCAAAAGATGTCAATTACACTCATTTAATTTTTCAAAATACATTTCTTTTTTCACTTTTAAAATTCTTCGGAAGTTTCCTATATATATACAGTGAATTTTAGTCATCTTCACCCCCCTCCACTGTTTCCTTCTCTCATCCTCCCTCCCTCTCCTCCTGGTACCCTTGTTCCTAACAAGTCCTCTCCTCCTTCGATGTCTTCTTTTGGTGAGTGACCCACCGAGTTCAGAGTTTCTTGCATAAGCATTAGTGGGAGTTTATTTCCTGGAGCAAGGGCAGTTTATCAGTGGATGTACCTCTGAAGAAAATGATGGCCCTTCCCCAGTAACCATCAGCTGCCAGTATACCCTCAGGGAGAGGTAGCGCCTCACAGACCTTTCCTTTATCCAGGATGAAATGTTAACCTGCCCCATCTGATGCAGGTTTTGTGCAGACAACCTCAGCTACAGCGAGTTCATGAGTGGAAGGGCCGTGCCATGTCCAGAAAGCGGAGTTTCACAGTACTGCTCCCCATTCCATGGCTCTTATGTTCTTTCCACTCCCTGTTCTTGATGTTTCAGAGCCTTGGAGGAGGTGCTGCTGTCTCATTTAGGAGCCACACACTGCACCATCATTTATTCTTGGCATTTTGGCCAGTTATGGTTTTCTGCATTTTTAAGTTTTAAAAGCATTTATGTTAAAAATGATAATCTTCTTACAGCGTACAATTGAGACTTTAAAACTCTGCAGTTTAGACTCTGCTGTGCATGGGATCTTAATTTGCTGTTTTTGTTGATCAACACTTTGAATTATTAAAATTTAGGTTAATAACCTGAATTTTCTATTTCTCTAATTTCTCATTTAAAAATCTTTTACATTTATTGATTTTTTGTTTCTTTATATGTGGGTGGGCATGCCTGTGGGGGTCAGAGGACACCACTTGGGAGTTGATCCTTCCATCTAGCATGTAGATCCTGGAGCTCAAACTAAGGTGGTCAGGCTTGGGAGCAAGCACCTTTACTTACTGATCCCCTCTTCATTTTTTCATCATTCAGTTTTCTTTGTGCTATGCCTCTGTTATCACTTGAGAAGAAAGTAGGCTAAATGACAAAGAAGCATTAATAAACTGTATCTAGATGTAGTACCCATTGGCCTTTATGATTTAAGCAGATGGTGTTGTTTCAACTGTTTGAGTCCATAGTCTGATAGGCACATGTTTACAAGTCATATCTATATAAGATTCAGACATTTAACATAAATCACTGATATCTTTACTATAACTGAGAGAACCAAAACAATTTAATTAAGTTCTATTACTTTGATATTATTTGAAATCACTATTTCAAGCCAGTTTTATGTGTTCTCTTAAAATATAATAATCTTAAACAGTATCAGCCCACAGACCCATGGAATGGGGGACACCTCACGCCCAAACTGGAGCTGTAAATATTTTGATAACCTCCCAAGATCATCCATATAAATTAGCCAAAAGTTGTTTCTGTCTGTGTAAGATACCCAGGGAGGTTCTGTTCCATCTGCAAAGGACAGCAAAGCATTGCTAAATGGTGTGGTTCCAGATGTGCTGTGAATAAGAAGCCTGGTAACAGCAGATCAGAGATCCCTCCCGGGTTTCGTATGCATTTGTGACAGCAGCGCTCAAATACAACACTGTCACCATGAGATGCTTATCTTTGAAAGATGAACAGGTGAAGTCCTCCCAATCATGCCGATGAAATGTGTGCTGCTCACCAGTCTAATCTGCTTTGGACTGATTTTCCATAATATGTTAATATGTCAACATGCCCCCACATAGCCAAATGTTACAGGACAGAACTGATTTTCCAGTTTGGGGGTTGGAAGTCTGCTTATATATGTCCTCAGGGGAGGGCCCTGCATTTCTTGTGAGGCTGAGAGAATGCTGGTGAGGACCTGCTTCATGCTGTGAGGTCACAGGGAGGTGTCAAGGGATGTGGGAGCTGTGCCTGCTGGACCACAAGACTGAGTCATTTTCTGTACCATCCCCTCCCTTTACTTCTTAGAATAAATGATTAATTTATTTGACTAAAGAAAAAATAATCCAGATTCCTCATATTTCTTCTAGTTGCTTAATCTTTAGATTGGACATTCTTTCAGATTCAGAATTTTTAAATGTAGTAAATACTTCCTGTTTAAAACCATCACCTCTGCAAAGAGTTGAGATTACAGCCACTGAGTTCACAATACAACTGTTTTCTCCATCATTTGATTGGTTAAGCAGTGTTGTCAGTGACTCATTAAAAGCAGAGTTTCTGAGGCTGGAGAGATGGCTCCAAACAGAAAACCTGCAAACTGAACTTGTGGTGACTTTTAATAGCTCTGCACTAATAATTTTGTATTATGCTTTGTTTGCAGGACCGTGTAAATGCATTAGAAACGGTAAGTGGGAGCATTTTCTTTCTTATGTCAGAATTCCTGCTCTCTCTCTCTCTCTCTCTCTCTCTCTCTCTCTCTCTCTCTCTGTCCGCTGAGGTCAAAAATTTCAGAACACACCAAAGAAAGCAGTTCCAGAAAACATTTCTAAAATGGGGGGAATTCCCTAAACTATGTCTAAAAGGTAGGTAGATATAAGAGTTTTCAATGAAAAGTTTTAAAATAAAAATGGGAACATATTTAAGTGCTAACAGCTGTCTCGGGGTAGCTGGCCAAGAGTATCACCTTGATATGTGTTTCTGTATTCCACAGTCACTGCAAAGTTGGTAGACAAGAAACTGAGATCAGAAAGCTGTTTATGCCTTGAAGTCTAGGTTGTCAGCAGGTTATTTTCGGTTTTTCCCATTGTCCAAAACAGAACCATAAACTATAATCAGTCTTATTGTAATAATCATACTTGAAGAAATCTAGTATTGGAAAGCAATTTAAAGTGCCTAGTTATAACACTACATGGTTGCATTTATTTATTGGAAAAATGATTGCATCTAAAATATAAAAGAGAAACTAGCTTAATTGATGTTGAAGTAAAAAGGTAAGCTATGACATTTCTACCCAACATGCTGTGGTCATAGAAGAGGCTTATGTTTTAATATCAAATGAAAACCAATTCAAGAAACAGAAGCCTATGTACTTTAATGATACATTATAGGCCTAAAAAATAGCAAGAATGAGAAAAAACTCACAGTAGTTATTTGTTAGATACAGATTATGGGTTATGATTTGTTTGCCATTTTACAAGTTTTATAAAATATGACTCTTTTACTTCTATAAGCATTTTTGTCATAATAGTCATAGGACTTAGAAGAAGAAGGCTGGGGGTGTAGCTCAGTGTCAAGTGCTTGCTTCACTGGTGCAAGATCTAGACTCAGTCAGCTGTATCACACTCAAAATATAAAGTTAGAGCAGTAAAATAAGTTATAGTAGTAACCTTCTGATAAAATATTATGCAGAAATAAAATGATATATTTCAAAAAGTGAAGACTGTCATACTGCTATGTGAAAAAAAGTATATCAATATATAAAACTGAGGGGCTGGAGAGATGGCTCAGCAGTTAAGAACACTTGTTCTTGCAGAAGACCCATGTTTGAATCCCAGAACCCACATGGCAGCTAACAACTGTCCATAACTCCAGTCCCAGGGAATCTGACAGCCTCTTCTGACCTCCATGGGCACTGAACAACACGGGTGCACTTACCTACATGCAGTCAATACACACATACACATAAAATAAAAATAATAAATAAAATTTTAAAAAATGTGATTCTAAAAAAAATATAAAACTGATACAAATATTAAATGTGCACATTTTTGCATGGTGATGTTTTTTATAAGATTTTAATAGGCAGGAATAAAAATCCTTTAAACAACAATGCTGATAAAGTATATGTCCATAAATATTTTAAGCTTGAGAAATAGAAATAAATGAGCACAGTTCTATGAAGTGACACTATCCAAATTGTAAATAATTTTCCTTCAATTTAACTGTATCACTTGAAGTATACTAACCTTCTCACTCTCAGTATGATGACATTGTAGGGACTGTGACCTTCAAACCCACTCAGTGCTTACTTTTCCTCCACATATGTTTTACTTTTAGGAATGTCCTGGTAACATTCTTATGAATTAAATATTCTTTTTAAAAATATGGAAAAATTCAGAATTTTTGAGTTTGCGCAATTAGAGTAAAAAATGCCATTTATACAGCCTCCAGAAAATTGTATCTTTCTTGATTCTGTATCTATAAATATGGTTAAAATAAAAATAATAAAATTATTTGGGGGAAATATTAAAAGCTTGGTTAAGTGGCTGTTACCCTTGGGATCATGTGTTATTTCCTATGTAATCATTAGTACTGTATCGATGTGAAATCTAAAACTAAAAGTTATGTCCATGGAAAACCTTAACTTTACTTGTATTTGCTGGTCTTTTTTCTGTATCTCATGTTTTCACTAGCAAAGTATCATGCAGTGGAATCTCCAATGATTTGTCTAAAGAGTTCCCCTGGAAGCAAAGGTAAAATTAAAACTCATCATGACAAAAATAAAATTGATTAAATGGACTGGGGTTTTTACAGTAGCAGTTTTCTCAAGATAGTTTCAATTTGAATAATTATCATAAGTAAAACTATAAAAATTAAAATGCTTGGTAATAATGTTAATGCTCAAATATTATGAAGTCTTTTGACTTTATCAGGCATTAAAAGGAGCAGAATTTAATTCACTTGGTAGGCTGTTCAATTGGTTAAGTTTGATAGTTCATAAAGTCCAATATGCTGAAAGCAATCTGAAGATCATTTCATTATTCTCTCATAACTCAGGCTTTAGTCTGTTGGAGACTGTTGGTGTCCCACACTTGGCCTAGTGGGTTTGAAGGTCACAGAAGGAGGTTTAGGGTGTGTCCTGTGGGGCTATGGATCTGTAATTTGGCATGTCCTGTCGTATCATCATTATGATAGAAAGATACTTAAGGGTTCAGGTAGTTGTTAAAATAAATGAACATAGGCTGTTTTCATAAGCCCAAGGAATAATTTGGCTTACCACCAGTTACCTCTATGCCTGTATGTCCATTTTTCCTAGTCTTCCTCACATTTTTGTTTTTGTGTTTTTTCTTCCCCTTGTTCACTATCAGGGAGGTTCCTTGGATTACAGTTGCACTATATTTGTAAGTGAATCCCAAGCTGTGTCAGAATTTTCACATATACAATGGATATTCAGTAATCTTTGTAAAAAATGTTGAACTCAATGCATTTTACTCTCTTTTAAGACTGTGCTTAGCAATTGAAGTATAAACAATATTAGTCCAGTAGTCCAGGGGAAATTTCCCCAGAATCACAGTAATTAGCTCCCTAGTCTTTCCAGGTGTTACTATATACTGTCCTCTGTCCACTGAGCTCTATCCTTCTTCCCTTTATACTATGAACTTTCCCAAAAAGGAAACAACTTCAGCCAAAATACAGCAGATTGATCCCCCAAATAAAACAAAGTGATCAGTTGAAGAAAAATCTGGATTGAAAACCCAGTTCTTGGGTAGTGGTAATAGGAAGCTTATCTGTTTACTGGGTGCTACCCAGGAACTGTGTTGACTGAAGGAGGGGAAAAGACAAAGGAATTTGCAATCAAACTGAGGAGCAGTGCCACGTACACATAAAGAAGTTAGTGTTGTCAGATAGCTGCAGCACATGAGTGAGGTTGAGAACAGAGCTGTAGCGCCTGTGGTGAAGAAAAGGGTTTGGGCAGTAGTGTTCCAGGTACATTGTAAATATCTCAGGCCTTCTAGTTTGAACACATGATGAGGACTTTAGATCTGTCTAGGACATTTGAAGAGTGAGTGGTGGTAGTGTCATGCAGAAAGACCAGAGGAGGCATTCCACATTGGAGATGTAACAGGAATGAACACAGGGTTTATTAAGGTAATAGTTTTGAAACAGTCAGGATCATGATTCTCATATAATTATGAAATGAGCTTCTCTCAATGTTTATTTAACTACCTAAGGATGGCATGAACTGAATATTATAGTTGACGCAAAAGAACAAAGAACAGTTTATCTATATATATGTATGTATGTATATGTATACATATACATATACATATACATACATACTCATATATATGCAGTAAAGAGTGATGAAACAAACTGGCTTCTTCCATAGTGGAAAAGGGAACCAATTGAAACTCACTACACAAAATTAATTGTTTATGAACAGGAATCAGTTGCCTGTAACTCCGAGTTACCAAAACAGCAATGCCAGGTATAGAGACTACTGAATCTATCCAAGCTATTGAAACACCTACCTGTTGTTTTATTTCAGAACCTGTCATATGTTCTCACTACAGACTAACCAGTGATCATTCAGTGTACATAACAATTTATAATAATAATAGTAGGAGATATTCTGCAGTTTTGAAATACATACCAAAGACTCTATGCTTGATCTTTTAAACAAGGGGTACAAATGGGTTCCTCTTGAAAACCACTTTTTACTGGTTGATATTGGCTGCTGACAGCCTGTTGGGAAAGAGTCTAGCTGCTTTTGGGGAAAGAGTGTTAGGAGGTAGGAAATAGCTTTGTATTGTATAGAGAGCCATTGATGTGTTTTTTGCAGGAGCTGTGGTTTGGAAAGTGTTGTGTAAAGTCATGTTGATATAGTAGCAGTGGCAAGGATTGAGTAGCATGATGAGATGCAAAAATGGTTCTTGGAGGAAAGCCAACTTCAGAAATGTGCATTGGAACAATGAGGAATTTAGGATGTCAAAATGATGTCACTGTTTAGAAGAAGGAACTGTCTCAGTAAGTGGGAGGTCATAGAAAAGAGGAGATAACAAAATCTAGTAAGAAAGTCAGTGAGAGGGAATGCAGAGCAATTCAACCTGAAGATATAAATTCATTTTTCAAGTACTTTCAAACCTCACTTTATTGATATTTCTATGAATACTTGATAATGTTAAAATTTGCCATGACTGTAGTACCATGGAAATCATCTAATAATAGTGGATTACTTTGAAGTAGTAATGCAAACATAAAGGGCATGGGCGGTCAAGCTGCCCAACCACATCCTGGAACCCAGGCTCTCTGCCCTCCTCAGTTCTGTCTTCCCCATGGACCAGTGCCTGCTCATCCCTTGACATTGTGCTTGTGGGAAAAGAAAATAAAGAAAGGACATAAAGCTTCCCTTTACTGAAATTTGAAAATTGTGTGCCTGTCTCTATTCGTATCTCTGGGCTAAAATTTAATTACAGTCATAGATAGCTCTAGGATTCAAAAAATTATCATACACATTTGGAAATTTCAAAGAAGACTTCTAAATAGTCCACAACTCAACAAATAAATTATAGTGAAAATTATAAAATATAAGGAACTGAGTGATATGTGTTTAAATGTGTCAGATTAGCAGAAATGGCATTTAGCAGGAAACTTAAGTACTTAAATTTTAACAAAAGGGATAAA